ATTCGGATCTTTTCAGAAATAGTAACATAATGATGTTTATCTGCTAATGCCATTTATTATGAATCCAATTAATTTGCAAGTCATTATTAAACAAGTCATTTGCAAGTCATTATCATTATCATTATCAAGTCGTCATCATTATCAGACAGCTATTATTGGAAAATATTTTGTTTGATTTTGATAAATGATTTATTGAATGGAATAAGTTAACAATAATTAAAATAAAATCAAAATTCGTTTTTTCTGATATTGTCCAATTAGATTTCTTATTCATTATGTTGCAAAATGTGATCATAGCACAAAACCTTTCAAATTGTTTAATTTTGTAAAATTATATGTGTACATACCTATCACGTAACTGCAAAAATTTTAAGAATTTAAAATAACTTTTAAACAATTGTGAAAGTTTAAATGGTTAGAAAATCACAATAATTTATAGTTCATAAGTTTGCAGCATGAAATTATCTCCTGAAGTGGACGAGGAAGAGTTCTTGGAAAGGTATTTTCATGAAATGTTAAAATGATTATATTAACAAATGATCTGTTGCAATCTTTTTTTTGTAGAAACTGTGGAAAAAAAAAATTCATGTTCCAATTTTGTTATGTGATTCTAATAAATTAAAGGAAAAAAGAAACTGAAATTTGATTTCATTTCAAATTTGATTTGCCATTCTTATTATTTTTTTTTCCTTCGTCGTTCTATTCGATTTGTTTAGCTTGAAATTCCATCATCGTAATCTAACTAATACCATTTCAGATCACTGAAAACTTGCAACTAAATTGAACTCCAAAATTCTCGACTATAGTAGTGTATATGTCTGGTATTGAATCACTGTATATTGGTACTGGAGTGGATCGGAACTTACTATATTAACTTTTTTTTTTTTTTTTTAAATTGTGATAGCTCAGAAGCACATTAAAGCAGACGGAATAATTTGAATTAAATCATGGATGAATTTTCATTGTATTAAGTGAAATAACAGAAAGTACTTTACAAAATAATTTAGCATTTTAGTAAAATGACACATTTTATACGTACTGTAAATTTTATAATCGCACTGCGTGCATCATATTTTATTATGCGGTAATCTGAGAAAAAAAAATTTTTACTTTTAATCTTTGAACTGAAGATTTTGAATTTAAAGCGATTGCAGTAAAGCTGAAAATATCATCACTGTAGCTATATTGCAAAATTTTTTATATTTTGATAATAAAAATTTTACTGTCACAAATTCATATGTCACTGATTGCTGACACAGTTTTTTCAGATATTTAGTAAAGTTTCTGTCTTTTACGATGAATATTTTTCGAAATTTAACTTTCAATCATACTGGAAATTAGCATTTTGCACACTTATCATTTCATGAAGCCTGCTTGAATTTGGTGAATCGCATTTTCTGTACGTGCTTTGGTTACGTATTATGACGTGTTACATATGATTACATTCAAACAGAACGAGCAGGTTACAATCACGTTTAAACAGACAAATAACATCCATGTCTAAATAGACAAATCACATTCATGTTTAAACAGAGAAATCATATTCACCAATATAATATTATAAAATTGAAGAAGTAAAAAAATTATTATTCAACAGCTGACTGAATTTTAAATTTATGCAGCAATTTTTCCGTATTGAATTTTAAAACTTACATTTACGATGTAATGTATGCATCCATCCTAACGCATTCTTATGATTTGATCTAATGGAAAGTATGATTAGGAATACTTAAATGATTCAATCATAACAACTTTTAATTGATATGTTTGATTTAAAATTGTTTAGCATGAAATGAATGCTAAAGGTCACTTTTACATTTCAACCAATTTTGTTTTATCTATTCAAATATTTCCAAATGGATATAATGCATTCCGCTATGAAATAACCACAAAAGAAATAAATTTGTATAGTTGGAGAGTTGCAAATATTGACAGACGGCATACAAACAGACAGACAGACAGACAGACTAGACTAAGCTAGGCTTTATGGTCAAGTTTATTGGTGAAAAATTGCAAAAATTTACTTTAGTTTTTCAAAGATTTGCAATAAAAATGTGTTATATTTCTTGCAAAAGGCACAATTTATAAGCGAACATAAATAATTCCAATTCTCAGTCAATCCTTACTCCCACAGCGGATAATTCATACAACGTCTGCTCAGATTTCTTCCCCTTTTCTTTTTTTTCTTTCATCGTCATTTCTTCCGTTACAATCTATGTAGGAAGATAAATGGAAGACGAGAGAAGTTAACTAAGTATTAGAGGTGAATGAAGAAGGAAGAAGCTATCCAAAATAAGAAATTCATCATTCTATTTTGCATATCACATTTTTTTTCTACCACTACATATTTCTCCTTCTCTCCCTCTCTCTCTCTCTCTCTCTCCTTCTCTCAATGAGTCAATACATCATCCATCATTTGTTGTAAGTTTACAAATGTGCAGTAGAAGTTTGCGCTATTTTTGCAGTTATTTTCCAGAAGTAAACTAAGCTATTTATGCAATATGATCATAATGATCGGCACTTTAATCATTCCAGATATTATCCATATATCATCGATTTACCATTCTAATCAAGAATTATCTCGAATGGCTATCACATTTGTATCACATATCACATTTTTATATCACATATCTCATATGACATGTGATATCACATATCACATGGCTATCACATTCATCACATATTATTTGTCGAATGGCTATCACATTCATTACATATTGTGTGTCCACGAAATGATATTTATCACAATCAGAATAACCGAGATCGCTATCTTAATCACGCATGATAATAGTCATCATCATAATTACGCATAATAATAGTGATCACTATCATAACACGCATGATAATGACGATCGGTATCATAATTACGCACGATAATAATCATCACTATTCATAATCACGCGTGATAATAGTCATCACTATCATAACACTCATGATAATGGCGATCGGTATCATGATCACGCACGATAATA